CTGGGTAGGAAGAGGGGGTTTGCAATTTCTCTTCTGTGATGGGAGGTAGTTGTGGCCTGGAGGCAAAAGCCCTGGACCTGAAGTTCTCAGGGAAATCTGACTTCAAACTTTGATTCTGCCCTCTTCTGGCAGTGGGACCTTGAGCAAGTCACTCAACCTCTCTGACCCTCACCTTCCTCATCTCTAAAATGGGGATGATACCACCTATCCCCCAGGGATATCCTGAAGATTGATGCTTACAAAAACATCCGGATCACAGAGATACTCATGAATTCAGTAGAACAAACCATGGGACAGGCTCTAGTCTATGTGGGGGGAACACGAACATGAATACAAAATGAGCTGCCTTTAAATTGTTCAGCGCAGAAATGCTGTTAACAGGACTTCATTTTCTGCCTTCCCTATACAGCCTTCTTTTAGGATAGCAAAATGAGTTTCAGGAGTTGAATTCTTTGCCTTGATAAACCTTCACCTCTGTGCTCTCAAGAGAGATCATGCTGATAAGGTAGCAGCTATGGTTACATCTTTCATTCTCAAACAGGGGGAGATGGGATGGTTATTTAAATGCTACAGGAAAAATATTACTTTTACACTTTCAAGTTATTATCATCACTGATCCTTCATTCTTTCAGGCCTTACCTGAAGGCATTTCCATGGCGAAAGTGTGCTTATTCAGCACTTTAAAATAAGTACGGAAAAGTCATTCTCTCCCAGTCCTTTATGCCCAGCATGTCCAGATTTACATGCCAAGTGAAAAGACTGGTCATAAAAGATCAATTCCCAGTTTAGCCAACTTAGTGACCAATTTCTGGCTCACCTTCTGATTTGGGGCTCAGGTTTAACTCTAAAAACAAAAGGACTTTCCAGAAAAATACTAGCTCGGCTTATAAATAGAAGCTGAAACAAAGTAACTGGCGGGGGGTGGGGGTTGGAATGTAGGAGATAGTTTCTAAATTAAAATGTTATAACATGAAGCCTGTACTTCCCTTGGTGGAGCAATTTCACAAATCACAGAAAAATATTCTTCATTTTAGAATAGATTGGGAGAGAGCCTTTGCCAAGAGTCAGTTGTTTAAATTTTCAATTTGAATTTTAAGCAGGATTATACATGCCCAAGAACATCATGCTATTTTTAACTAATAGGTAGGATTGCTATGTCCACAACAGTTTGGAGCAATCAAGAGTGAAACTATTAAATAGCATCTCTCACTGTGGTACCTTATCATTTAGCACTTCTATTTCTATTTTAATATTTTCCAAAGCTTCATTGTAAAAATTCTTGTAAAGCACCCATGCTAGGCACAATACAAAGTTCAAACTGATAGACATGGTTTCTATCTTCATTATGCATTTAACCCACACTGAACAAATCAGACATATGAAAGAATTCCAAACTTAAAGCATTCCCATCAAACTGCCATCCAGCCCCTAAGTGCCCAGGGGAGGTACACTAGGAAGCAAATGTCCTACACTTAACACCCTTTCAGTGCTTAAATCCTCTCAATGTTTTAAAAGGGGAGGGTAATGAAAATTTTCTAAAATTGACTGTGGTGCTGGGTATACAACTCGGTGGATACACTAAGAACCAATGAATTATACACCTAAATGGGTGAATTGTATGGTATATGAATTATATCTCAAGCCGTTAACAAAAAGAAAAATTATTCTTACTCTGTTCTAATTAGTCAAAGCTATGTTTTAAGCTCTCATGCTAAATGCTATCTAGCTAAAGGCTGCATTGGCTTGGCAATGGAGCTCAGTAGTCACTATGGAGGTCACTCTAATCTACCCCTGCCCGTACTTCCCCTAGTCTCTCTTATTTATTTCCCCAGTCCCCTTCTTGTTGTTCCTCCACTCCAACTAGGTCTTAGGTCTCTCAGGTATTCCCAAGCATGGTTTGTCCCAGCTGGTGGACCTCTGACTTAAACCAATTGCTGACTACCTCCCATCCCCCTAGTCCCCTGGCAACTTTCCCTTCATGACCTTAGGCAAGTCATGTCCTTGCTCTCTTGTTGCTGTTCCGGTTTGCACAAAGACGGGTTGGATGGAGTACGCAAACCTTTCCAGGTCCCACGTTCTATGTGAAAATAATACAAATAATGAACACTTACATGGGTCGTAGCATGCAAAGTCTCTGCCATTTTGGTCAAAAGACATATAATTGGATAATTCCTTTTGTAAATGGCCATGTAGTAGTTTTCTGAAGAACAGTATTTAATGTATTCATAAAATGATCAACATGGAGTCCTTATTTTTAAAAGCTATCATTTTATCAAAGAAAATTCAGAGCCCAACACCAAATGCTTGATAGTTCCTCTGGACCTGTCTCTGAGGGTCCATTTTCAAACGGAACAACAACAAAAAGCTTTTTGCGTGTTGGACCCCTGCTGGTTGCCACCCCTGCTGGAGTGGCAGAGCCTTACCAACACTGGTTCAATAAATCCTAAGAAAGGCTTTGTTTGGCCAGTGGTAGAGAGACCTAACATGAGACAGCACCTCAACATACATTATAAACTCTCAGAAATACTCTCAGAGAGCAATAAACGCTGGCAGGAATGAATTTCTTTATCCTGGACAACTTGCAGCTTTTTATCCAAACCGGTTACATACTCCCAAGAAAACTCAGAGAAATATGTAGTCACCAGTTTCCAACATATTGCCACCAAATTCACAGTATTGTCTCCATGTGCCCAACATCACAGAGCAAAACCAAACGAAACACATCAATTTCATACATACACACACACACACACACACACACACAAATATGCAGGAGAAACCATTTTCTTTGCAGAACCTACAGTTGTCTAAGTTGTGGGCATGACATGATAAATATCGGTTGCTAATAAAAACCAGATGGACAGCTCTTCACTGAGAAGCGAAAAGTATATGCAGAAATTAAACAAACAATAACCCCAAGGTGTGTTTCTTGTCATTAACTGAATGCCAACATGGAGAGACTAGTGTCCATTTGTTTATTTATTCATGAGAGAGAGAGAGACAGAGAGAGAGGCAGAGACACAGGCAGAGGGAGAAGCAGGCTCCATGCACTGGGAGCCCGACACGGGACTCGATTCTGGAACTCCAGGATCATGCCCTGGACTGAAGGCAGCGCTAAACCGCTGAGCCACCCGGGCGTCCCGGACTAGCGTCTATTTGCATCCCTCTGTCCAGTGACCTCTGACCAATAAGTTCTCCTGTTAGTTACCTCCCCGCACTTCTGCCCCTATCAAAGAAGCCTAGAGCAGAAGATGGCAGGCCCCTCTCTTCTTCCCCTTCAGGCCCTCGGCCTGAGGCACTTAACAGGAGTGGGGGGCTGGGAAGGACAAAGGTAGGTGCTTTCGATGCCTCACAGCTCTGCGACAGGGCACCCGGCCTCTCCGCCTCTCATCACGGAAACAGAGCACCTGCCCAGGAGAGGTCTCTTCTTCCACTTTAGTAACTGTCCCGCGGGGCCTAGGTGTCCAAAGAGTCCAGGGCTGCAGCCCCAAGGGACAAAGGCTGGGCTTACAAAGCGGGGCGGGGGGGGGGGGGGGGAGAGAAGTCGGGAGCGGTAAGAAAACCCTAGCAAACAAAAGCGGGGTGGGTGGTGGGTGGGGTGGGGTCCTGAGAATACCAAGCCAATCTAGGGTGTTCCCAGAGGTAGCCAGGTTTGGCGGATTAATGCAAGTGGGGGAGGGGGGCGGTCAGAAAATTCCTCTGAGGAAAGGGATTAGGGAGCTGCAGGGACGTAGCAGCCAGTTGGGAGGAGGCTGAGGGGAGGGCTGAAGTCCCGGGGCGAAAAGAGGCACAGCTCGTAAGTAGGGAGAGGTGATGGCAAAGAGGTGAGGGCCACACACGGCTCAGTGGCGGGAGAGCAGGCACTCGGCCCCAGGCGGCTCTCCCCTGGGAGAGGGGCTCAAAGGTGGCGCACCACACGGGCTGGGGGCGTGCAGCGAAGGGATTCCGGGGAGAGCGCAGAGTTGGGGCGCAGTGTTGGAAAAGAGAGTTTGAGAACAGAACCGTAGAGAGGCTAGGGGGGACTGCGAGGGGGCCTGACCCTCGTCCGCCCCAGCTCACCTGGCGCCGGGTCGGAGTCCAGGTCTAGTGCTGAGAAAGCGCCACTCCTGCCAGCCCCTCCGTCCGGCGCGGGAGACCACGGACACAAAGCGGGACGCGGGAGGAGGGGAGGTAGGGAGGAGGGAGGGGGAGGGGAGGAAGGAGGAGGAGACGCCTGAGGCACGCGAGGGGGGGGGCGAGGAGAGACGCCCGTCGCCCTCCGCCTGGGTCACGGGGCGGGGCGTGCAGCTGAAGGCCGCGCTCGGCCAGCCAATGGCCACCCCGCCGGCTGGCTGACTGGGGCGCGCCATCCGGCAGCTCACCTCGGCACCTGGGCCTTCCTTGGCTGGCCCCAGCCAATCAAACGCCTACATTTGCATACCCAGCCCCGCCCTGCTCCCTGAGAACACAAAGAAGGCCCCCCGTAGGGGGAGGGGACCCACCCCTGACTGCCTACCGCGACTGCATAACATCACCTTTCCAGTGTGTTTATGGATCTTTCACAGTCACCCTGATGAGAGGAAGGAAGAGGCTTCCTTCCTTAGGACCAAGATGTCCTAAGAAGGCAGATTTCTTGTCCCTGAGGTCCATCTAACCAGGAGCTACTCTTCTCCAGTTCCACCGCACACATTTACATCCCTTCGCATTTGAGCCCTGAGTCTCCGCCCCTCTCCCCCTCCCCTTTTTCCTAGTCGCCCCAATCTGTTTCCTTCCATAGGGCTGGTGCCCACTATTGGCCTTCTGCTGAACTGCCGCCCTGATCAGCAGGCTCTGAGCACAGCCTTAGATGCTCCAAAGCTGCCCAAACCATCACCTGTCCAGAGGGAAAACGAGAGAGGAAGAGGTTACTGCCCTAAGGCAGAAGGGACCCGATCACGTAGCTTTTGGTACCTATGATGGCAAAAAGCCAACACTGAAGTCTAAATTCCCCAAATCATCTGGTCCAAACTTTCATCTCCTACCTTCAGGTCTGTACTGGGCCACAATGGTGACTGACTGGCCAGCCCGCTTCAGAGCAGCTGCAGCCTGCTCGTGAGTTGCATTCCTCAGATTCACGCCATTCACCTATCCAAAGAGAGGAGCTATGAGCCACCCCAAAAGCAAGAAAGGTGGTCTTCTGTCATGGGAGTTAGGAGAGGGAGATGGTCAGCCCATCCCTAAGCCTACTCAGATGCATTTCTCAGTATCCCATCCTTGACCCTAAGACAAGACCTAAACAATATGAAATCTCTAGTGTAATAATTATCTTTGTGGGGGTCAAATGACAACCAGGGTTAAGATCCAAAACACATTCATTTTCTCCTTAAGGATAAGCCTGGGCTCCATCCCTGGCACTCCCTAAGGTCACATATAAAAAGAATATAAGTTTTCTCCAGCTCAGCCTTCTTCCATCTCAAGAAGCATTCCTTGGAGAAAGCAAGATCTCCCCTCCTCCCTTTTAGATTGGCACAGCTCCCATCCTCCCACCTCTCCTTTTTCCCCTCACCGATAAGATCCGGTCTCCCCTGCGCAGCTCCCCACTCAGGTCAGCTGGGCCTCCTGCCAGGATGAAGGAGACAAAAATGCCTTCTCCATCCTCTCCTCCTACGATGTTGAAGCCCAGGCCAGTGGAGCCCTTGTGCAGTATGATCTTGCGGGGCTCTCTGGTGGAAAAGAAGTAAAAGGGTAAGGATGAGGTGGATATAAGCCAGCCTAGAGCAAGGCCCGCACTGCTGGAGAATGACTTAGGTCCCTATATGTGATACCCTGTTGCTTCCTTTCTCTCCTGAAACCTGCTTGGCTGCTGTTTTCTGCCAGGTGCCAAGTTTCAGTTCCTCTTCCCTCCGTTCTTCCTGAGGGCTTGGAGTCAGCTTCCCAGTGGACGATCCTCTCCTCTCTTGGTTCAACACACCCCTACCCTGTCTAAAGACCTCAGAGCCCATTCACTCTCATCCTCTTTTTCCCCAGATTCTCCTATCCTACCACTGGCGTAATGGACCAGGGGCCGCACCAAGGGGAACCAGTTAGGGGCACTGGAAATCAGCCTGGGTTTGATTGCACTCACCATCCCCAGAATGTACTTACTTTACACATGCTTCTCCAACAGTCTCAAAATTCCACCCACCAACTCTGACCCCTCCTACCTTCCCCAGTAACAGATTTGGTCACCAGCTACTCCTGTGTGCCCTTACCAGGTGATGTGGGAGACAGATAAAGAAATCCCAGGTCCCCAGAGGGAGCTTAGGAACCTAACTGAAGAGAGTTAACACATGAAAACTCCAACTGCAACTAACCATGTCTAAGGAATCCCTCTAGAAATGGTCAGTGTCATCAGGTGAGAGCTACAGCTGCTCTTGTACATCCATACAACCTGACTCCCCACACTCTTGCCTGGTCCACCGCCTTCCCTTTAAGCATCTTTCATCAGAAGAGCCCCAAGTCCAAGCAAGACTCCTTTTGTTACTCCCCAGTCTTGGGTGTGAGGCTCCCTCCCTGAGTCCCGGATGCTCTTGCTCACATCCTTCCTCTCCTCCTACCTGGCATCCCCTCCAGGCCGCAGGGAGCGGAGCGGCCAGGCCCACCTCTGTGAAGCCCTCCTCCAGGCCGAGGCCGAGCCTAAGCCCAGGGCCAAGCCGGGGCCGGAGAACTTGCATGCCCCCTCCATGGCTCCTCCAGCTCTCCCCTCCGTCCGCCTACCCTTCCGGCTTCCACTGCAGCCTGCCCAGCAGCCTACCAGGCCCCACCCCGCAGCAAACCTGTCCCCCAGAACCCCGGCTGGCCCGACCAGTTCCACGGCCGCCCCGCCAAAGCGGCCGCCGCCAGAGTGGGGCGGGGCCTTTCCCTGGGAGGCCACCGGGCCTGCCAGCCTCCCAGCGTCCTGACAACACCACCGGCTCAACAGCTTTTTTTCCCTCTAATTTAGAACGACTGCTGCAGAGGGACAGCCACTGTCTCCGGGAAGGAAACCGCCCCCCACCCGGCAGCTTCCACCTCCTCGGCCCCCTAAACGCTCCACCCCACCTTTTCTCTGTACTCGGGGCCACACACTTGGCACTCCCCCTGATGGTAGAACTTGTCCTTGCAGCTATCTCTGGCCCTCCCCAGAGCCCTAAGGGCTGGGAGAGGGCCTCAGACCCCAGAGAGAAGTGATGAGGGCTTAATCCTCTTCAAAGCCATACTACAAAGAGACCAGTGGCTAGCTAGAAACGAATTCCTATCGTCCTCATCCCTAGGTGGGATAAAGGTGTGTGTAGCTGGGCGGTCTTACCTGGTGAAGTCCTCCTCAGCCAGCAGGTGCCTAGGGATAGGAGAGTAGCGGGCAGGGGGAACCTGAGGAGGAGTAGGGTAGCTGACCTTGCTCTCCACAGCCCCAAGATAACCCAGGCTGGAATTATGGCTTATGTGGTTGTCAGCCAAGGTAGTAAAAGCTGGAATCAAGGAAGGGAGAGAAAGTTCAAAGACCATTCCCTGGAGGTCCCTACCTGATCTGATCCCCATCAAGGACTGTGCTCCAATACCCCACCTGGGATGCAAAAGCCACCAAGGGATGCCGATTCCTCAGGACTCTCCTCCCTTCTCACTACCCTGCCCCCCCCACCCAGGTTCCTCCTCCACAGTACCTTTCTGAATCCTAGGCTCACTCCTGTGAGTCTTAGAAAGAACTAAAGTCAAGCAGTCTACAAAGAAAGGCATGACTAGAGGTGTGACTAATAATAATCCTTCACATCTCTATAGCCTAATAGTTTTCCAAGGGCTTTCTTGTCCATGATCTCATTTGATCCTTGCAGCTGTCCTATGAGGAAGGTGGCACATATATCATTAGCTTCTTTTTGCCAAAGAAGAAACTAAAGACAGGTGAAAGGGACTCGTCCAAGGGCACCCAGCTATAAGGGATGGAGCTGGGATCTGGATCAGTTCTCCTGAGCATTAGTCCTCTTCTCTCTCTCTCTCTCTCTCTCTCTCTCTGAACAGGGCATTTTAATTATTTCCCCTCCAGAAACCAGGGGGCAGGGGTTTCAAGGCTAGGGACAGGGTGGATGGGTACGTACTGCTGGCGTAGTCAGGGGGTGCATACATGTCGTTGAGGTGGAGGCTGCCTGGCTTGGCCACCTTCAGGTAGACCATATCAGATGTGTTCTTCAGTGAAGCCACCGCTTCCTCATGCCTCACATCCTGCAGATTGGTGTTGTTCACCTAGAAGAGGTAAGGCCTTAGGGCTGGCACTTGGGAGAAGGGAGGGCCTCTCCAGGGAACCCTGAAGGGTACCCTGTCACTGAAATTCCACAGTACTCTTTCTACTAGAGGCCCATATGGTGCTATGAGAGGTGAAGAAGCAAAAGACAGCAGTAGAGCAGGTGAGGGAGTGCCATCCACGAAAAGAACTAGGGCCTTGGTATCTGAGTACACACAACCCAGATGATGCTCTTGAAATTCCCCACAATGCTGATTCCTGAGTGAGGTTCAGGTGGAGTGTGAGGCTACTAGAGCCCCACCTCCCCACCCTACCCTACCATTTTGGCATCCCCAAAGGCTGTCTCACCGCCAACAGCCGATCCCCGATCTGTAGGCGTCCGTCCTTCTGAGCAGCACCCCCCTCGATGATCTTGGTGATATAGATGCTGTTGTCTCCTGGGATGTGCTGGTTGCCAATCCCCCCAGCAATGCTGAAACCCAGGCCTGGTTGAGGGCCCGAAGGGAGTGGGAGAGGGCCACAAGGAGAAGTTAGAGTGCTCAGTCAATCCCAGACCCATCTCCCCACTGCAGCCAACCCACTGGCACCCCCCAACCCCCTGAAGGAGCTTTCCCTCCCCAGGAATCCCAAACACTAGGCTGCCATCCCCAGGTCAGTAAAGATGAATGAGATGTGAAGTCAAGAAAGAAGTCCATGAGCCAGAACAGGGAGTCAGGCAAGGAGTAAGGCTGTCCCCTTCCATTTCCTACAACGTCAACCAGGGGCCTCTGGCCAGAGTACAGGAACCCACACCTTTGGGCCCTTTAAGCAGGTTGACCTCCATGATGGTCTCAGGTGGGGGCTGTCTCCTCCGCACCACCAACCGCACCACAGGGCCCGCCTCCTTCAGTGCCTCCACGGCCCGGCTGTGCACCACCTCTGATACGTCCACCTCATTCACCCTCAGCACACAGTCATTCACCCTGCAGAGGAAGCCCAAGAGGCATGACGCCCTGCCACTGCTCCTCCACCCCCTCTCCCACCACCTCTTCTTCCTTCCCTTCCTGCCCCTCCCCTGCCCCCTCTGAGATCTAATGAAAGGGTCATCCTGCCTGGCAGCCCTCTTCCTCTCATCTCCATCCTGCCCCCACTACCCTCCCCCCCCCCCCGCCCCCGGGGCCCTGCTTTCAAGCCACCTCACCCCAGCCTCCCGTCCATGGCAGCTGCTCCACCAGGGATGATCTTGGTAATAAAGATGCCAGGGTCATCAGGGACATGGGGGTTGTCGATGCCACCTGCAATGCTGAAGCCAAGGCCAGAATTGCCCTGCAGAAGGGGGCAGAGGGGCACAGTCTGCTCACTCAGAGGGCATGAGGGAGGGTTCTTGATTTCCCCACTTCCCCCAACCCTCCAGAGCTTGTGCTCCAGGACTCAGAGGGAGCTGGCACACAGCTTCCCAGGCTGTGCTCATGGTCTGGCATAGAGGCCTCAGCAAAGCCATCCCTTCCCCAATTTCCTAGGCCTCAGCAAGCAAGGTCAATTAATATTCATTAGTTGTTTGGTTGATTGATGCAGTATGCAGCTTCTGAGGGCCACTGTTTCCCCATCCTCTCAATGCAAGTCCCCCACCATGAGTCCTGAAGCTGAGGTTCAGGACCCTTCTGTTTCCTGGTCTGAACCCTCCCCTCTCCCTTGCATCCTGACCCATTGGCAGACTCACCCGCTCAAGTACTATTTCCTCATACTTGAACATGCCATCACTGCCATTCACCTAGGGGGAGACACAGGCAGTTCCCTGAGTTCTTCCTGCCCCCATTCCCACCCATCTGCCCCCTGGTCAACCTGCTCCTCTTCCACACCCCCAAAGAGTGGGAGTCTGCATTGACCCCAGGACACCTCTTGGCCACAGATGGGGACAGGCTGATTCTGAGGAGGCCACACCCCTCCCTCACTTCCAGCTATATCAGGCCAAACCCATTTATTTAGCCCAGATCAATTGTCTGGGACTGAGCCAGCCACTGGTGCACTCACTGAAAGGCTGAGCTCCAGGGCCTTGGAGTTCACTAGGAGGGTTGCAGCACTGGCTTAAGGGGAGTGTCGGAAATGGAACACAGTAGGCAAACCATGCCACACCTAGCATCCATGGGAACACCCAGTGGCCTTGATGGAGGGACCTATTCCCCTTGTGAATCGTAACTTTCCCTGACTTAGGGATCAGAGACTCCCACTGTGTAAGAACTGGTAGGACAGCAGACACCATCTTGTCCAACCTCCCTCATGTGACAGATGGTGACACCGAGGCCTAGGGAGGACACAGGTTGTACCTCAGAGCGCACTGGGAGTTAGTGGCAGAGCAGGGGCTAGAACCTGGATCTCCAGGTATTCTTTTGATTAAATCAAGCTGCCAAGGCCACTGATGTTTTGGCCACTCATCCCCTTCCCTAGCAGAACTCCCAGGAAATGGAAAATTGTACCCTTCAGAATACCCCAGGAACCCTCGTTCTATATCTCCTCTGTGTCCCCAGGAACCCAATTCTTCAAATGGGTGGAAGGAGTCAAAGTCCGAACCCGCTTCGTACCAAGAGGCTTTTGATCTTGAACCCTTTGTGTTTCCCAGCAGAAAAAGTCAGGGAAGGATCTGGGTGGGAGTCAGAGGCAAAGTCAGGGGTGGGATAGGAGCAGAGTGGACACAGTTCCCCAGGAGGGAGAAGCTGATAACCTGTGGACCGACTGGCAGCAGAGCCCATGGCCTTCAATATATAGTAGCCATGGGAGAAGTGAGGGGAAGGAGATGGAAACAAGCACTCTTCTGACCAACCCACCGAACTGGTCTCCCAGACAAGACATAACTTGTGACCATTGTCAAGAGAAAATGTGATTCTGGACAGACAAGTAGTAACTGCTCCATGGCTCCCACTCTCTTCCCCAAGAATGGAGGACTTCTTTGCCTCTCTCCCCGGGTAACCCAGCACCTCCTCCCATCTTCCTCTGGCTGTGTTACCCTTTCTGACCCATGGTGTCCTCATCTGAAGGGAGCCGACAAACCTAGGGTGGGGGGGGCTCCTTCGTGTGTCTGACTCTGCTCAACTCCATTGTGCTTGGCTGGTGAAACTGGAGGGCACGGGTAGGGGTAGTACTTTTCAGGCCTGCCCCCTGACTTTATGCCTGCAGCCACTGGGAGTGGTGGGAGGACTCAGCTGCAGCCCCACCTGGTTCCTTGATCCAGGGAGGAAGAACCCATGGCTTTTCAGAGCTCCCAAACCAAAAACAGCTGCCGCGAGTAAGATGCAAAGACACACAGCAAAAGGACACCCATACAGCCTTCTGTGCATATGGGGTACATGTGTGCCCACATGTGATAAGCATGCTTCAAGCCCAGCTACACCAAGACACCAGAGGCTCCAGCCTCCCATGCCCTGCTCAGGGACCCGCTCCAGGACAGGAGCCATCTTGGGAACATCCTGCCAAAGACAACCTTGACACTGGCCCAGCCCTGGGACTGGACCTATCTGCAGTTGTGTAGGATATGGCATGACGGGGTGTTTGCATGGGTAGGGCCCCAGGATACGGAAAAAAGAAGGAGGGGGACTCACTAGAGAGGGCAAAATAGCCAAGGTAAGGAAAGGGAAGGCAGTAAGTGTGGACGGACAAAGACCAGAACTGAGGAATGCGGACTCCTTCCTAGGAAGTCCCACCTTTGCTTCTGAGTGAGAGCACATTTCTATTCCCAGAGGGGACAGTGGCGGACAGAATGAGTCACCAGCTTGGGGCAGGCAGCACCTGCCTCGACAGCAAAGCTCTGTCTCTTCTCCTAACCTGGGGGCTGCAGAGCCACATAAACCAGAAGGCCCTCCGCTATGCATGCCAAGGACTGGCTCTGCCGGCCCAGCCTCCATTTTGCTGCTTCTCCCACAGATGCTCCTTCCATTTTCTAAGCTGGCAGTTTAGACTGGGAGTGGAAGCCGGAGTTGTGCCCAGCACCCAAGGGGTTCCCAAACTGTGCCAAGTCAGGGCTTGGGGGCCAAGTTCTCTCACATCTGGAGGTACCCAAGGGGGACATGCCCCGCTGGGGCCAGTCTTGCACCAGGGCAGCTGCCCCTTCTTGGCTCCAGGCACCATGCTTGCTCTAGAGCGAAGAAGCTTGCTTTAGTCCCCCCACCCCCTACCTTTGGGCCCCCCCAGCACACATACTTCAGAGCTGCTTGGACAAAAGAGTCCGTCCTTCTCAGCAGCCTCTCAGCCTTGTTTGGAACATGTCTCTTGCCTCCTCTCCCTCCCCTCCTTTGCCTGTCAAGTGCCTCTCACCAGGGACACCACACACACACAGGCACATGCATGCACACACTTAAGCTACATGCTCACACACATATACATGTAGCTACACACACAGGCAAACACAGCTGTCCCTGCAGCCTCATCTACAGAGAGACACCTTCACATTCAGAGAGACATCCCCACATGTCCATGTGCACATTCACACACAAAGGGACTGGGACAGAAAAGGACTCATGGCACTGAAGGATAAAGCTCAACCAGCTGGGAACATGGGCTCCTCTACATAGATTCACAAGAGCTCCATTGCCTTCCTCCACACACCTTAACATACATACACACATATGTCCCCCCTACGCAGAGCACCATGCCCCCTCCTCCCCCCCCATGGAAGCACACACCACACACAGCCCCCGCAGAACCTCCTGCCCCCTGTCAGACACAGAGACGCTACTAAACCTCCGCACTGAGACAAACCCAGTCCCCCTCACAGGAAAATGTACCCCTCTGCCATACCTTCACCTCCTGACACACACAGCTCCTCCCAATCCCCTCCAAATGGAGACCCCCAAACAGACACACACAGAGAAGCACACATTTCCAACCGCCTCTCTTAGCTCAGGTGAAATGCTAAGGCTCGGAGTCCACTGACTTGAAGCCTCCAGGAATCCCTGCTGCATCCTCAGGCCTCTAGGCCCCCACTCTCCAGCCTCCCCTGGGTTACTCCACCATCCCCCCCGCCCCCCCCCCTCCGCACTGCTGGTCCATACCTGCTCATACCAGTCCCGGTTGGTACAGGTGCACTCGGGCCACCAGCTGGGGCCACTTCCGTTGAGTTTGGGTGTGCTCTTGCCTGGGACTGGCTTAGGGGGCACTGGCCCCACATCCCGGCCAGTGGGGATGAGCTTGGCCTTGGTGCGGGGGGTGGGGGTAGCCCCCGCCTGTGAAGGCAGGGTCTGAGAGCTGTAGCCCCCATAGCCCGCGCTGGTTCCATTGCCCCCACCTGGCCCGTAGGGGTCGGGCACCTGCCAGTCCCCATAGCCAGGAGGCTCAAGGCGCCGCAGGGCAGCCAGGCGGGTCACCTCATAGCACTCGGGGCATTTACAGCAGTGCTGGTGCTTGTGCATGGCACTGCCCCCCGCCGCCCGGACACCCCAGCCCACGCCGGTTTCCACACCGCCGCCGCCGCCGCCGCCGCCGCCGCCGCCGCCGGACTCTCGGGCACACTCACACTGCTCGGACCAGGAAGGAGGGGGCACCCGTGGGGGCGCTCGGGCGGAGCGGGGCCTGGGGCCGGGCGGGCGTCCCGGGGCTTCTGCCCCCACGCTGCCCCGCACCCACGGCTCCCCCTCCAGCACTGGCGGCTCCGTGTCGCCCGTCGTGGCTCCTGGGCCCAGGCCCAGCGGCAAAGAAGAAGCGGGAGCCTGGGCAGAGGCTGGGTGCTGAGAAGACCGCTCCTGCACTGGTCCCCAGGATGGATCTGAGTGGAGTCAAGAGCATCTCTCCCTGGCTCCCTTCTCAGTTGATTCCAGCCAATCAGCGTGCAGAGTCAGGCAGCGGCAGCGGCAGCGGCAGGAATGCTAAACAGCGGCTCCTTAAAGGAACAGAGGCAGTGGCGACCCCAGGCTCAGCCCCAGCTCCCCAGATATCTGGGGTACGGCCGACCCTAAAGCAGGGACGGGGGATTTGGGCCACGGGGGAGCTCAGCCCCTGATCTAGTGCCCCCACATCTCCAATTCCAACCCGTCCTCCGCCCACTCCACCCCACCCCACCCCACTTCCAAGAGGGAGTTGCAGGGAGATACTCAATGGGTCCCTGGGCTTGCTCTGAGCTGGGGCTAGCAGAAGTAAAGACTTGAAGCAGCAGAACGGACCAAAGGGATGTTGGAGCAGGGCAAGGAAGGTGATCTTTCTTAACAGGGGACCACGGAAGAGGGCAGCATATGTGGCTACTCTCCTGTCAGTCCTCTTCCTTGGGACTATTGTTCTCTCAACCTCTAGGCCTGAAATGACCGCAATCTCACACTTGACCTGCTTCCATCACTAGTGAGGGACTCAAACCTAGAACAGGAGGAGGAAAGGAAAACTCTGAGCTCTTGTCCCCGGCCCAGAGGCTCCTGTCTCTTTCCCCGTACTCCTGCATGGTTATCATGGGAGAAAGAGCTTTAGGATGCCAAGAGGAAAGAAGAGTCCAGGGCAGAAGGAAAGGTAAGAAGAGATCTGAACTTAGAGAAACTGTTCCAGGGGGCCTGGAGAAGAACTTAGGAATTCCTGTCTGAGGACATCTCCTTAGCCTCCCTGGCTCAGCCTGTTGGGGGATGGAGGAAGGTGATATGCAGGGAAAACTATCTCTTTTTGATGTTCTTCTTTTGTCCCTAGCTACCAACTATTGAGTCTTTACAAAGTCCTAAGTGCTTTACATTCAAACGAAACCCCTACCAAGGTGTTACTATCCTTATCTTAATTTCACTAATCAAGAAATTGGGGCTCAGAGATGTTAATACAACTGGAAGTGACAGAATCAGGATGCAGAGCCTGGCTATTTGATTCAAGAATCCATATTCTGAACCACCCTGGTACAACAGCTCTATTCTAAGTTCTCCCGTAGGATGTAGATCTCAGTTCAATTCAACAAACATTCATTGCACACCTACTCTATGCAAGACCTCAGCCTAGGTCCTAGAGATACAGAAGTTCATTCTTAATTCAATAAACATTTATCTAACTAACACTTGCTATGTGCAGACACTGTTCTAGGATTTGGGGATATAGCAACAGACAGAACAAAACAATAAATCCCTGCCCATGGGGAGCTTACTTTCTAGTGAGAGGATATAGACAAAACCCAGCATAATAAATAAGAGAATTATATAATATATAAGGTGCTGTGGGGAAAAAAGAAAAGTCAATCAGAGAAGAGGGTGTTGGGAATGCTAGAGGAGGATGCCAGGTTGTGATCATCTTTCTTCAAGTTTTTTACCTCTACATTTTAATACAAAAATTATCAAACATACAGAAAATTGAAAGAATTTTACAGAGAACAAACACCACCTAGATTCTCATTAACATTTTGCTATACTTGCTTTATCATATATCCTCCACGTATTCTTTCCAACTTTTTTGTCCAACTTTTTTTAAAAATGAAAATTCACAAACATACGGAAATGTTGACAGAATAGTACAATGAACATCAATATATCTTTCTCATAGACTCAGCAACTGTTACTGTCTTGTTATATTTGCTCTATCATCTATCATGTAGCTACATTGTTTTCTGAACCATTCGAATGTGTTACAGATTTCATCACACTTCTCCCCTAATACTTCAGCATACATCTTGTATTCTCCTACATGACCACAGTATTATTATGGCATCTAAGAAAATTAGCAATAATTTCATATCACCCAATAGCATCTAATGTCTAGTCTATATTCAAATTTCTCCAAATTTGCCTTTTATAGTTTAACATCAGAATCTAATCAAGGCTCCCCCATTGCCTTTGTATCTTTAACCACTTTCAATCTAGAACAGGGATGCCTGGGTGGCTCAGCAGTTGAGCATCTGCCTTCAGCTCAGGGCGTGATCCCAGAATCTGGGATCGAGTCCCACATCAGGCTCCCTGCATGGAGCCTGCTTCTCCCTCTGCCTGTGTCTCTGCCTCTCTCTCTGCCTCTCTGTGTGTGTGTGTTTGTGTCTCTCATGAATAAATAAATAAAAATTTTTATTGGAGTTCAATTTGACAACAGATAGCATAACACCCAGTGCTCATCCCTCCAAGTGCCCCCCTCAATGCCCATCACCCAGTCACCCCAACCCCCTGCCCACCTCCCTTTCCACTACCCCTTGTTCGTTTCCCAGAGTTAGGTGTCAATAAATAAAATCTTTAAAAAAAATCTAGAACAGCTCCAATCTTTAAAAAAACCCACTCTTTAAAAATTATTACAGATTTACAAGGAAGTTGCATAGTACGGAGGGGGCCTATGTACCCTTCGCCCAGTTTTCCCTCAATGATTACATCTTACATAATTATAGTACAATATCAAAATGAGGAAATTGACATTGGCACAATGTGGGTATAGTTCTAAGCCATTTTACCAAATGTGGAGATGGCTGTAACAACCGCTGCAACAAAGATACAGAATTATTTTTTCATGACAGAGATCTACTTGTCAACATTTTATCAGGTTGAGGGAAGTATAGAAACCTCACCTCCCTTTAAATACCTTTACCATGTTCCATTTATACTATAGTATTGTATGGTTGTCTTAAATATTTCCTCTGCATATATTGAGCTCCACATCAATGTTATATTTATTGCTTTAAATATCAAACATAATTCAGACACCTTAAGAGAAGGAAAGTCTATTGTGTGTACTTCCATTTTTACTCATTAAATTCTTTCTTCTTTCCTGACGTTCGACGATTTCTTCTTTTATCATTTTCTTTCTGTTTTGAAAATTGACTTTAACTATATTTTTAGGGTGGGTCTGCTGGTGATGTAATCTATCTCTTAGCTTCCCTTTTTCTTTTTCTTTTTTTTTTAAATTTTTTTTTAAATTTATTTATTATTTATGATAGTCACAGAGAGAGAGAGAGAGAGAGAGAGAGAGAGAGAGAGGCAGAGACACAGGCAGAGGGAGAAGCAGGCTCCATGCACCGGGAGCCCGATATGGGATTCGATCCCAGGTCTCCAGGATCGCGCCCTGAGCCAAAGGCAGGCGCCAAACTGCTGCACCACCCAGGGATCCCCAGCTTCCCTTTTTCTGAGGGTAACTTGACTTCCCCCTTATTTCCAAAAGGTATTGCTAGGTAAAGCATTCGGGGTTGACAGTTCTTTTCTTTCAACACTTGAAATATGTTGTGCCACTTTCTTCTGGCCTTCATGGTTTCTGATGAAAGATCCACCCACATTTGAATTGTTTTTCCTCTGTAAGTCAGGTGTTGTTTCTCTCTTGCTGTTTTCAAGATTTTCTCTGTCTTGTTTTCAAAAGTTGGGTTATGATGTATCTTGGCATGGGTTTCTTTGGGTTTATCTAGTTTGGGCTTTGTTCAGCTTCTTTAATTTGTAGGTTTTATCTTTTGCCAAATTTGGGAGATTTTCAGCCATTATTTCTTGAGGCCCCTTTTGGCCTCCACCTTCTTTCTCTTCTCATTCTTGGACTCCAATGAGACAAATGTTATGTCTTAGGGGATAGTTACCATATGTCTCTGAAGCACCATTCATTTTTTAAAAATCCGATTTTCCCATTGTTGTTCAGATTGGGTAATTTCTTTTTTTTTTAAAGGTTTATTTAACTGAGAGAGAGAGAGAGAGAAAGAGAGAGAGAGAATGAGAGCATGGGGCCAGGAGGGGTAGAGGGAGAGGGAGAGAATCTCAAGCAGACTCCCCACTAAGCACAGAGCCCACTGTGGCATGATCTTATGACTTTGAGATCACTACCTGAGTTGAAATCAAGAGTTGGACGCTTAACCAACTGAGCCACCCAGGCGCCCCCAGAGTAGATAATTTCTAAAGTTCTATTTTCAAGTTTGCTGATTCTTTCCTCTGTCCTATCCATCCTGTTTATAAGTCCTTCCACTGATTTTTTGGGTTTGGTTATTGTATTCTTTGATTCTAAAATTTCTTTTTTTTTTTTAAATTTTTATTTATTTATGATAGTCACAGAGAGAGAGAGAGAGAGAGAGAGAGAGAGAGAGAGAGAGAGAGAGGCAGAGGGAGAAGCAGGCTCCATGCACCGGGAGCCTGATGTGGGATTTGATCCCGGGTCTCCAGGATCACGCCCTGGGCCAAAGGCAGGCGCTAAACCACTGCGCCACCCAGGGATCCCTGATTCTAAAATTTCAATGTGATTCTTGATTGTATCTCCTATTTTTTTGCTAAGACTTTTTTTTAAATTTGTTTCAACCTTGTTTATAATTGCTCATTGAAGCATTTTTTATGTTGGCCACTTTAGAATCCTTGTCAGATTGTTGAAAGCTGTTTTTCATCTTGGTATTGGCACCTGTGGATTATTTCTCATTCAAGTTGAGGGTGTCCTGTTTCCTAGTATGATGAGTGATTTTTTTATTACATCCTACACATTTTTTGATATTATGTTATGAGACTCTGGCTCTTATTTAAATCTT